CAAAGCATTATCTAACATCCGTCAAGAATTCGATACCTATCGAAACTAAGATATCCTATAAATACAAGAATGACCAATTAATTCATAAGCTACACTTCAGCACAAGCCTTCACTTCACACTTTCAACTCTGATCGAGAAGTCGCTCTGGAACCAGTGTAATTTGCAAAGTCAATGACGTCGCAAAATTGAATATTGACAACCATGTTCGATAAAGAAATTATAAAACACCGTCACCAGTTTTCATCCAATAATGCGTAAAAAAATTCTGAATAACGTGGAGAGTGTAATTTTTGGGTTTATTTGAGTTGTTTTGGCATAACATCCTAAGAGCTCATTGACACTAGACTCTAGTTCACAAAAAGAAATACATCTATTTCCAAAAAAAATACATGAATTATTGCATCATTTTATGGTTACATTATAGTAGATAAATATTTCTAACTGGCACTCTGCACTAGGATGCACCTCAATTAGCAGATAAACAAAACTTGCATAATATTCAGATAACATTTATAATGTAATGCAATGGATCAATAACTTCTGGTTAAGCAACACCGCGAGAAACACCATGTGAAACACTTTGTTATTTACTTAATGATTATTGTTAGAACATTTGGGGATATTAGCTAATTAATCACCGATAAATCATTATTGAATGTCGGGATTTGTTTGTTTTACTGGAAATTGCTCTCTTGTGGAACGCAAATTGATAAGGAGATTTGATGAGAAAACTACTGGAGATTTGTCAGAAATTTTTTAACAAGGGGTTTTATTTGAAATTGGTAATTTTTTTTTAATTTCAAAGTCAGATTTTAATGTATCTCAATTTTGAGGAGCAGAGTGCGCAATAATTTTAAAACAAATCAATTTGATGCAGGCAGGTCGTTCAAGTTCTGGCTATGTTAATAAGTTAATCTCCATGTGGAAAACAAGCAAACAAACAAATGAGTAGTTGATGTTGTTGACACGTTGGAAGAACTTTCAGCAGCGCATAGTGATAACTTGTTCTAATCAACTCATTTATTTATAGCTTATCACGATTATACACTCCTGGACATAAAAAACCGGACAAACAAAATTTTGTTAAATTTCAATCCTAATTAATTTTTTCAATTTTGCATTGAAATTGATCATTTTTTGTCAAATGGTAGGCGCGTTTATCTTGATCATTATTTAATATTATTTTTGCAAAAAGTTCGAATGGATTTGGTGTTATACAGGGTGAAACCATAAATTGCATTTGGTCCCAAACTTCTGAACACTCTGTGGAATAATTCACCGACACAATCATGCGTATCTGCAGGACATTCTTAAGCGTTATCATTTCTTAACATGTCTTTTTTTAATTCATATCAATCTCTTCAATCTTCAAGGAAGCACAAGTTTTTAGAGAAGCAATGCAATTTCTACCAATAACAAAAATTAAAAACATTACAGATAACTTTCACAAATAAACAAACACTAATATTAGGTATTACCTCCACGTGGTCTAGTAACTGCTGCCATGCGACGTGTTAAGCTCTCAATACAATTGGCAATAGCCCTTTGCGGAATTTTCTCCCACTTCTCTAGAAGAGCTCTTCAAAGATCTGGAATGGTTTCCGGTTTTCAATTGCGCCAAAGCCTCCCTAACATGTCCCACATATGCTCAATCGGGTTATGATCAGGGCTACGTGGAGGCCAGTCCAATCGTTGAATCCCTGCTTCATCGAGATAATCACTGACAACTCTTGCGACATTAGGCCTGGCATTGTCGTGCATCAAAGAAAAATGTTCACCAAGAAATGGAGCAAAAGGAATAACGTGGACCGCTAAACATTCCTCAATATAACGGATAGCAGTTAAGGCGCTATTTTCGATAAAAACCAGGGCAGTACGGGCGTAAGGTGCATCCAGCTCACACCATGAAACTACCTCCTCCAAAAGGTGTTCTTGGAGAAATGCAATAGTCGGAAAGTCGTTCTCCCCGTCTTCGCCATACACGCTCTCGTCCAACGGGTGAACGCAAACAGAAGCGCGATTCATCAGTGAATAACATACATCCCCACTCTTCGTCATTCCAGTCTTTCTATGGACACGGGCAAAATTTAACCGTTGAGTACGATGGGCTACTTGTAAAGCTGGACAAGCAGCCGGTCATCTTGACAGCAATCCTTGTTCATGTAATCTACAGCGAACGGTTCGTCCAGAAACTCTTGTGCCATGTGCCACGTACATTTTCAAGTTGATGACTAATAACAGCAGATATTACTCCTCGGTCCCATAAAGCAGTTAGAGTAATAAAATGATCATCTCGCTGGTTAGGGACGCGGGGTCTCCTAGATCCTGGAAGTCGTGTGTACTTACCAGGCATTCAATGCAACAGTACCTGCAACATCTTCAGACCGCATATTGAAAAAAAATTCAACCTCTGAATAAGGATACATTGACTCTTAGGATAAAAAAGCAAACGAAAATAAACACTTCTAAAGTGTATTTTTCCCCAAGATGGATTTTACCATTGATAACTTTGAAACATAAATAATGCCGCTTATTGGTCGCAGGATGCCATTTGCATGACAAAACATGAAAAACTGATTCCAACCTGCAGGGACACGGCATTTTGTGACGAATCAGGGAGAAGCGGTATTGTTTGCTTTCCAAAGTTTTCAATGTTGAAATCCATCTTGGGAAAAGATACACTTTAAAAGTGTTTATTTTCATTTGTTTCTTTTTCATAAGTGTCAGTGTATCCTATATTATATATATCGTATTCAGAAGTTGAATTTTTTTTCAATATGCGATCCGAAGATGTTGCACGAGCTGTTGCATTGAATGATGATGGCCGTGATATACGCTCATAGCTAATGTCTTGGGCAAAGCCAGAAGCACTGTACAAGATGCAATTAGCCGCTTTCATCATCAGACTGGTGAGTACATACGACGTCCAGGGTCTGGGTGACCCCGCGTCACAAACCAGCGAGATGATCATTTTATTACTCTAACTGCTTTACGAGACCGAGGAGTAAAATCTGCTGTTATTAGTCATCAACTTGAAAATGTACGTGGCACAAGAGTGTCTGGACGAACCGTCCGCCGTAGATTACATGAACAAGGATGAATGTCAAGATGACCGGCTGCTTGTCCAGCTTTACAAGTAGCCCATCGTACTCAACGGTTAAATTTTGCCCGTGTCCATAGAAAGACTGGAATGACGAAGAGTGGGGATGTATGTTATTCACTGATGAATCGCGCTTCTGTTTGCGTTCACCCGTTGGACGAGAGCGTGTATGGCGAAGACGGGGAGAACGACTTTCCGACTGTTGCATTTCTCCAAGAACACCTTTTGGAGGCGGTAGTTTTATGGTGTGAGCTGGCCGTACATGCCCGTACTGCCCAGGTTTTTATCGAAAATAGCGCCTTAACTGCTAACCGTTTATTGAGGAATGTTTAGCGGTCCACGTTATTCCTTCTGCTCCATTTGTTGGTGAAAATTTTTCTTTGATGTACGACAATGCCAGGCCTAATGTCGCAAGAGTTGTCAGTGATTATCTCGATGAAGCAGGGATTCAACGATTAGACTGGCCTCCAGATAGCCCTGATCTGAACCCGATTGAGCATGTGTGGGACATGTTAGGGAGGCTAATTCGCAATTGACAACCGGAAACCATTCCAGATCTTCGAAGAGCTCTTCTAGAGGAGTGGGAGAACATTCCGCAAAGGGCTATTGCCAATTGTATTGAGAGCTTAACACGTCGCATGGCAGCAGTTACTAAAGCACGTGGAGGTAATACCCAATATTAGTGTTTGTTTATTTGTGAAAGTTATCTGTAATGTTTTTAATTTTTGTAATTGGTATAAATTGCATTGCTTCTCTAAAAAACTTGTGCTTCCTTTGAGATTGAAGATATCGATATGAATTAAAAAAAGACATGGTAAGAAATGATAACGCTTAAGAATGTCCTGCAAATACACATGATTGTTTCGTTGAATTATCCCACAGAGAGTTCAGAAGTTTGGGACCAAATGCAACTTATGGTTCCACCCTGTATAACATCAAATCCATTCGAACTTTTCACAAACACAATATTAAATAATGATCAAGCTAAACACGCCTACCTTTTGACAAAAAATGATCAATTTCGATGCAAAATTGAAAAAAATATTTAGGATTGAAATTTAACAAAATTTTGTTTGTCCGGTTTTTTATGTCCAGGAGTGTATTATCATGATGACCCAGTTGCAGATTTTTGGACATTCAAGATAAAAAAAATTACTGGAACAGTTTTTTTAAAATCCTTCAACTTTGTACCTAATCTACGTCAGACAATAGGAGCTTATTAAGTCAAATTTATTTTACCGTAATCGTAATTACACCAATCATAAATAAATCTCTTTTGAAACATCGAATTAAGATAAGACAATTTTACAATTTGTTTGTTCTTCACTTGAGTTTTGTACCCGTTAAAGTGTAAACTGTATTCTATAGTGGTATTGTATTTCTAGAAGTTTGATAAAATTCTAAAAAGTTGTTTACTCACTTGCTGACTTGTCGCAGAAAGCGATACTATTTAACGTAATATTAGATCCTTAATTTTTTGAGATAAGGTGAATTATTACGATCATAGTGATAATGATTTATGAATAAAATATTGTGCAAAAACTTGAAATCGTAATTTGAACACGTGATAAACTTTTCTTGCCAGCAATAGATTTGTACCCACTAGAAAAATGTGACAGAACTCAGTTGTCAAATATTGACAATTTTTATAATTGTTTGTGAATATTTGTCAATCTTCATGAGTGAGAAACTCTTTACTTTTTCTCGTGATAATAATTGTAATACCTATCTATTGACTATTTATATCAATTTGTACTTATAGATTCTATCTGAAACTCGTGGATGTAATTTTTTTTATTTTTATTTTTTCTCAATTGGATAATGGAGAAAATTACAAATTCTGTAATAGGATCAGGAAAAAGTGATTCTTTGAATAAAAGTTCTTCTATTCTATTGCAGAGTGAGTCCATGAGTCCCAACAACGAAGAAGCCACCAGTCAGGATCTGAGTCAGAGCGGTGGCGAGGCCTCGAACAGTGGCGTGTCCGATTATAGCGGTCCCCCTGTGTATAATATGGTTTATCCCGGTTATTATGTGAGCGGGGCTTGTACGCCAACTGGTAAGTTATCATTATTGGATATAGGTTCTTGTAACAATTAAAAATCGGCGAAAATATATCACGTGACTAGAGATTTCCATGAGAAAATTGTAGCCCTTCTAAGAATATTTATGAATTTCCAGTCGGCCACTTATCTTAAGTTCAGGTTTCTCAGTTTTTCCTCTTTGGTTTCAATAATTGGAATTAATATCGTTGGTATTTCCTCAACTCAAAAATAAAACACACAAGCACTCTTTCGCCCTTTTTATGTGATGCTTACCTTTACAATTATTGTAGAAAAGATTCCTCGAGCCTATAACAGTAAATAAAATAAGAAAAATTCACAAGGGAATCAGGCTTTTGTAGATTTAAAATACAAAGATTTGTGACAAGTGAGATCTTGACTATCACATACCATATACCTGAGAAGGAAGATTTGGTCATCTATATCCTTCTAAAAAATCGGTTCCCGAAGGCATTTCACATAATATGTTTGTGAACGATGTGCTTTTGTAATCTCTAATCATCTTAGTCCTAAAAACTATACATAAAAGGCAGGTAATAAAATTTCATAAAAAGTTCCGTCTAAAATAACAAGCAAATTCGAAATAACAAACAACCTTACAACAAATTCAAAATGGGAAATCACACAAGCAAATAAAAAATAATAATAATAAAACACATAAAAATAAAATAAAATAAAATAAAATAAAATAAATTAAAATAAATAAAATAAATAAAAACTTTAAAATATAGTAACATAATCCGTCTTATAGAACTCTTAGATAATATAATAGCTACAAATAAATTTTGCAAGGAATCATAAACAAAACGCTGTAATTCATTCATAAGCTTTTTCAATTAGGAATGCTTTAAGTTTTTTTCGAAAGTTTGTACTGTTGAACTGTTGAATGTTTCACCGATGCAGATTTCGGGATTGGTAGGGGTAAATTGTTGTTGTTTCTTAAACTATAGCTCTCAACCCTATCATAGTTCTGAAACTTCTTGAAAATCAAGCAGGCCGTCTCCAGAATGAAAATTGACGGCACTGTCAAGATTCGTTCCTGAACAAAGAGGGGTTTGCAGGTTTGTTGGTAAGCTGCATTGCATAAAGTTCTGAGGGCTCTTTTCTGTAAGACAAACACTGACTGAACGGATGTCTGAGTTGAGAATCCCCAGAATGCGATTCCATATCTAACATGTGACTCCAGTAAGACGTAATATGCAGTTTTGGCGGTGTGTTTTCCGAGCTCTTGCAATACGTTCTTAACCATGTAGCATCCCTGTGAAAGTTTTCTATTAAGCATATTAGTCCAAGAGCCTAGAGCCGCCAGACACAACTTATTTTCTAAAAGACAGAATATGTGGGATTGTGTAGCACTTATATGTACTATGAACGTATGGATACCCGCTAAGTTGGGTAGACGGTCAATTTACCAACATCAGGTGCGAAAGCTGAAGAAAGCTTTAACTTTTGTTCTAACGCTTGATTTTTATATATGGTATTGGGGAAACCATTTCATAACTACGTGTGCTCAGCCAGACCAATCGCACCGGCCAAACATCCCCCCAGACGCAAAATAATTTTTTCCGGGAGTGTAAGCGCGAGGGTACTATGCATGCGTTTGAGAGTGAGCGAGATATCAATGTCAACTGATTTCCCACTCTTAAACTTACAGTCTACTCTAGGCTAGAGTAGAAATGGGAGTAGGTTTTTCCCATGAAAGGAAAAACCGTTATTTACAAATAACAGTGAATTGGCCGTCTACCCAACTTAGCGAATATACATACGTTCATAGTACCTATAAGTGCTACTCAATCCCACATATTCTGTCCTTTAGAAAATAAGTTGTGTCTGACGGCTCTGGGCTCTTGGACTATATCGATATGTGTTTCAAATCTTAACCTCGAATCTACGTGCATCCCAAGAAACCTTACAACATTTTTTTCCCTAATAGTGTCTCCATCAAGAGTGATACCTTCCAATGAACATTTAAACATTAAAATATTAGTTTTTGAGACATTTAAGACTAGAAGGTTTGCATTGCACCATTCCTTTATTAATGCCAAATCACGCTCTATAATGATTGAAAGAACCTGCGAATCCCTATGTCCCCAGAGAATGGTCGTATCATCTGCAAACATCACAAAACCCCCAATATTGACAGCGAGGCGAGGTCGTTTATGTACAGTAGAAAGAGCACTGGACCGAGCACTGAACCCTGTGGTACTCCTCGAGTTACATTCAGAATTTCGGAGTCGTCTTTGTTAGGTATTCTTACAAATTGCCTTCTTCCCGATAGATATGACTTAAACCAGTTCAGCTCCTTCCCCTGGACGCCATAATGACTCAACTTCCGCAGCAGTATTTCGTGACTTACGCAATCAAATGCCTTTGAGAAGTCACAAAACACTGCCGCAGCCCTCTCGCCATCATTCAAGCTAAAGAAAAGCCTTTCGAGTAGAGAAAATACTGCTTCGTTTGTGCCCTTGCTTTCCTGAAATCCGAACTGATTTGATGACAGTATGTTGTTATCATTTGAGTAGTTAACAAGCCTTTTTTTCACGATTTTCTCTATTATTTTTGAAAGGGTGGTTAGTAGAGAAATGGGGCGATAAGCAGAAGGGTCTTGATCATCTTCCCCCTTTGTAAATTGGGAGGATTACTGCCAATTTAAGGCAATCTGGAAATTCACCCCTATCAAAGGAGCTGTTTATGCTGTTCACAAGGGCAGCCAAGGCATCATCTTGTAAATTTTTAAATATTTTCAGTGACATATTATCCACGCCCGATGAATTCTGCTTCTTAATGTCTCTCATAACCATTCCTAGTTCTTCTTCATTTGTATGTGTTAGTTTAAACGATTCCAAGGGATCAATTGGTGCTGTCCAGTGCTAGGCAGCCACGTAGGATATGCTCTGCTGTTTCGTCTTCCTGAACTGCTCAGACCAATCTTGTAGTGGTAGTTGAGACGACAGTGGCCGGTTAGCAATCCGCTCTTTTCTGCTCCAGGATCTGCTTTGTGTAGTTTCTAGAGGGTTCCTTTATAAACGCCTTAGTGCGCGTTCACATTGACACCGCTTGAGCGGTGAGCGTTGCGCGATGCCGCTGTAGTGATGCCCAAAAATAATTTTAACATTATATTTCAAATGAACAAGTTCACACTGAGGCGGCGTGTCGCGCGTTGTTAACATGTTCATTTGAAATATAATGTTAAAATTATTTTTGGGCATCGCTACAGCTGCATCGCGCAACGCTCACCGCTCGAGCGGTGTCAATGTGAACGCGCACTTAGAGTAGGTAAGACCATCAGCGCCATTCCAGTGAGATCGGGTTTTACCCTTTGCCCAGCTGGAAATAGTATCCTCAGCATTTGATTTTGTGATGCTTAGAACCGGTTCAAGTCCTATGGAGCCGACTTACGCTCCGTTTTTAGTGAGGGCGTGGGCTTTTTCGTCGCCTGCCATCCCCTGATGCCTTGGCACCCAGAGTAAGGTTACCCTGTTGTTGGTGTCGGTGCCTAAGGTAAGGTAAGGGACTCGATACACACAGTTCCTCACCAGTTTTGAGGTAATCTGGTAGGAGCCTAGGGCTTCTAGCACCGCCTGGCTATCTGACACAATATATATGTTTTTATTATACAATGTGAAGAAAAACACCAAGTCGTTGTCTCAAATTTTTTAATATAAAGGTTACATGTTTCGCCCAATAATGGGCATCATCAGACCTATAAAAAGAAAACCTCTTACACTTAGAACAAACTTAGTACAGAAACACATACCATCAACTAAACTCTCAGAGTGTTTCCAACAGACGCATACACTTCAATAGATCTTCACAATAAAACTTTAAAAAATATAAAAATAAGTTCAACAAATGTGGAACATGTTCCAAAGCTGACAAGGGCAAGACAGAGCAGCCAAAAACCACACATAAGCTAAACTACAATTCCAAGTATAAAGGAGGACATGCGCAAGTTGCTCGGAGCCGGTAGGCAAGGTACGACCATATCAAGGGAGTTGAATTGAATTTAGAACAAAAAATAATGAACAGCCCTTTTGCAGCGAATTTATTTGCATATAAGAGGTATGTGGAAGATATCTGTTTGGTGTGGATTGGATCCAATGAGCAATTCCTTCTTTTTCTCGTTTGTTAATTCCCTTCATACCAACATACAATTTACATATGAAATGGAAATTGAAGGCAAATAACCTTTTCTAGATTTGCTCCTGATAAATAATAGTCCGAATATTAAGTTTGAAATCTATAGAAAACTAACCCACTGATAATATCATCCAATTTTCCTCCAATTCTCCATATGGACACAAATTTGCAGCCTCCAATTCGTTTTTATATAAATTATTCAGGGTACCATTATTGAACACTCTTTTACGAAGGAATGGAACACAATTATAAACTAATAGCTTTAAATAACGGTTTTCCCTTAGCTTGTTTGACTAAATTATATTACAAATTCTTAAATGAATACAAACTCTCATACAACATCATACATAATAAAGCTAATGAAGTAAAAAGGAGTTTCAGGTCAATCACTTTTTCACTCCTTACAGTTGGCGAAATTTTACAAGTCTTACAATATTGATATAGCCTATAAAACAATAAACAGTTTAAAACGACACCTCGTACATAACAAAGACAAAACTAACTTCCTCTATATGTCGGGAGGTTACTCCATAAATTGCGGAGATTGTCCTGCTGTTTATATTGGCCAAATATAGAGATTCTGATATATCCAATACCAATTCCGTCTTCGCAAACGACTTGTTGACTTCGGAACATAACACTTCCATTCCTGAAAACGTTAAAGTTTTGCATCAATATGATAAGGGAAGGAAATTGGACTAACTGGAGAAAATAAAAATAACTAGAGCCAAGAAGAGCCCCTGTCCTGACCTGTGTGAACGACGTGTTCAATTTCGAACCCAATTTAATTTTTAACAACATAATTTTAAGAATACCTACTATTTTCACATTAGGGCATTGTGGTTGGGATTATTTC